CCTATCCATACCCAGTGTGTCTCAAATCCAAACTCTTAGATATGAGATAAAACAACATGACAAAAGGCTTCCCTCTGTTAATTAGATCACAGTATCTTGCTTGACAACCAAGCAACATTAAAAATCTTCAAAAAATGAAGCATTCCAAATCAAAATGTATAAAGTCAATCTTCCCATGTTGCAAGAGAAAAGAGAATTCCCAATTAGTGCCTGTCTTCCATGTCTTTGAGGCAGTATGAATAAGGGGTTGTCTATCTCTTCCATCTGGAAAGGGCCATGGTCAGTCTGCAGGTCCACTGTAGCTAGTCTGAAGATTTGTGCTAAGTCGGTTGGAGAGCTGCATAAAGATCAGTCAGGGACCTGGTCACTCGTCAGAGAGAAGGGGGTGGGCCATGGTCAGTTCTGAGGGTCAACCTTAATGAAAGTGAAGAAGCAATATCAGTGCCAACTGCTGTGGTAGGGATGTTAGGGAAGTAAAGTGCGGGGATTGGAGGCAGCAGGCTGGGATGCAGAAGGGACAATAACTGAGAAAGGGGGGGCAACTCAACTTGTAAACGGATCAGACAATAACACACTGGAGAGCATGGGGCATGGCAGGGAGGTAACTGACAATCACAACAGCCCTGGATTCAACTGGTGGTGGTGAGCCAGTGCAGCATGATAGTTGGCATGAGTGTGATATGGGCCTGAAGCTCAGAAGGTAATGTTGTGAGATGAAGTCATAATTCAAAGAGGTGCGTGGGAATGTCTCAGTACTGATGGGCTCAACAGGGAGTGCAAGGAAGAAAGGAACATGAGGGTTTGAGTTGGAGAGGAAGTGTTCTCTGGATTATTAGGCTGAGCCTGTCACTCACTGAGCCAATTATGACCTGTGTTTTCTTTGTACAATGTATGCAAATTAGAAATGTGTAAGATAAATGGAAAATGGTGCGTTGACACCTGGAGTGGACGGAATAAGTGTTTTATTTTCCTCTCTGAGCACATGGGCTCTACTTGAGAGCGATGTAAGGCCCTTCAGTGGGTAATTCCATTAAATCAGGCATATTCACAATAAAGAGTTAAAGTCACCTGGAATCATAGCACTCCACATGTGAAAGGCTTGCTGTGTCCAACCATGTGGAATACAAATCCTGGTCACATGCAATCTTGCCATAGTCATTACAGATTGATCAGTCATTTCTGTGAAGTAGAAGTAATCACAGATGACCTGTGAGCAACAATGCACAAAGACAGTCTACTATCTCATGGGCTGCACATGGGCATTGGCCTGATTTGCTCTCACCTTGAAGTATAAGTATTTGCCAACATGCTCTTATGTGCAAAGCTGCCTTTCTTGAGTGATGGGAGGTGTGGTGAGTTGGAGGTATGTGAGACAAGGCATTAGTAATCATATAGCACTTACAATTTCCTCCTGTATTTGCATGGTGTGGCCTATGCTGGATGCATCAGAATAAGGTCCCTAGGTCAAAAGGTCCACGTAGAGGCATTGCATGGTCATGTTTATTGCAGTCCTCCATGTACCACTGGACTATACTAGACCAACACCTGTATGCAATGTGAATATTTTGTTTCTGAAATTCCCCACAGAAGTTCATTGGAACCATGACCAATATATGCAGCCACTGCAGGGATGTTTCTCACCCTTTATGCATGCTATGTTGAGATTAATTCCATCAATGTACAATTCATCTGTGATCATTAACACCACAGTCTGTTCCAGATAGTCTGGGAGCTGCCGTGACATCTATATCCTTGACAATTCCTACTTCATTTCAAGTGCTGCATGCCTTACAAGGATAGTTACTAGGAGATAAGGGCTACCGTCTGCAATGATGCTACTAACTCTGTTAAATAATCCCCTGATGGACGCCAAGCATGCTAGCCATCAGTCAACCCAGGATACGGTGTGCAGAAAATAGGCCTCCTGAAAATGAGGTTATGACACTTGAAACAGTTTAAGGGGACCTTCAGTCCAGATAGAGTGTGCAACATAATCCTGGCATGCTGTGCTTTGCAGAACTGGAGAAAGCAGAGAGGGGATGTGATCAACACTGAACAGCTGGGAGAGCAACAACGTATTCCAAGGAGGAAAAAGATATTGAGCAGACAAACATCACCTTCTGCATTATAGAGTGGGGCACTGTCAGGTGCCACAAGCCAGACAGAACTTCACTAACACCCAGTCCCAATAGATGTGTGCTGGGAGCCGAGATCACAAATTGACATTTTGTTGCTGGTAGAAAGGCAAGCAGTCCTCTATCTGTTTCCAGAAGCAAATCCAACTTTTCTTTGTCTTTTTTATCCCATGTGTTTGCTGTTGTTGAATAAAAACTAACGTTTAAAACTGTCTGAACACTTTTCGGTAGGTGATGAAACCACAGTAAAATATGAGAAGACGTTAGGCAAGACTGGGCATTAGGAACAGAGTAGCTGTTAGAATCCTTGTTGATTTTTCATCAATTTTGTTTTTGTTCTTTTATCAATTTTGCCGAATCTCCCCCACTAACATTTGGAAGCCCAGGGGATAGAATGCTGAGTTAAAAATATTACTACTTTTATGTGAGTGAGCTGAGAAGGTGACCCTGATCAGCAGGTTCAGAAAAGCAACCAAGGAGACCAAAGCTATAGTTGTGAAATAACATATTATGGAAGCCATTTATGTAATCTGGTCAGTTTTGTTATTTTCTTTTATTTATCCTTTAACTATGTGTGTTTGCCTATCTTTTGTATGAATGGGAGCTGAAAATGAATGTTTTGTGTTTAATTAATGAGACATTAATTAGATTACCATATTGTTTAATTTTCTCTCTCTGCTAAAGTTATTGTGTATTTCATAAATAGTTAAGTCTTTTGCCTAAGATACTAAACCAAGATCTGGAAATAAACTCTTTGCAAAGTCTGGGATTAGTTCTTCAAAAGTTTGGATAGGAGCTATTGGAGTGACCATTGGGGGTCTTTAAGATCTTAGCGAAAACTTGTAGCTCGGGTTGTGGATACAGTTGCTCATATCCTTGCCAAGCCTGTTGTTCTGTAGTATACAGACATTTTGTTACCTTTCTAGGCAACAACATCAGTGCGACCTCTAATCAAAGTGTTGGTGTTCTGCTTTCTTACAGATTTATATGATCCTCTGGTATGATGATCTTGTCGCTTCCGGTTCTGTTGTTTTAGCAGCGGTCTGTATAGGAGGTCTATTTCTATCTATTTGTTAATAGAGTCCCATGTTGAGAACCAGGCTTCCAGAAATTCCCTTGCATGTCTGGTGTTCGCTTGTCCCAGTGTGGTCACTTTGTCCTACTCAAACTGATGGCCCTCATTGTCTGCGTGTATTGAGACAAGTGAATATTGGTCGTGGACACCTCAACATGGGACTCCATTAACAAACATATAGAAATGGACCCCATATACAAACTGCTGCTAAAACAACGGAACTGGAAGTGACAAGACCATCACACCAGAGGAGCATATAAATCCGGAAGGAAGTAGAATACCAGCACTTTGATTAGAGGTTACACTAATGATGTTGCCTAGTAGGTTAACAAAACATCTGCACACCATAGAACAACCGGCTTGGCGAGCCAATAAGCAATGTATTGGGGGTCTTCGATGGTCTGATTTTACTCTGTTGCAAATACAGGGGTAAAAATGCTGCTTTGGTTTGACTATCCAACTCCGTGTCGTAACTCATTTAGACAGGGTTCTAAGATGAGATGTCACAAAGGGCAGGTAACCATGCAGCTTGGTTTCAAATGGTAAACCATTAGTCAATGTGCACTTGCAATGAAGTGCCAGCCGTATCAGCTATGGTGCCCTCTGAAGCATTTTCTTTTTGTGCCCCTTCCATTATATGCATTGTGAAAGACAATTCCTGCATTTGTCCTGGTACACAGGTCAGCTCTAAAAAAATGGTGCTGGAATTGTAGGGGGTTGCTGTAGTGATGGGTACTTTCACTATTGCTGAGCGAAGAGAGTGTGAATGGGGAAGCAAACAGATCTGGTGCATTGCAAGTGAAGCAAACTGTGGAGTATAGGAATGAGAAGACTCGCTCAGAAAGAAATATTTCATTGTCAAAATTGACATTTGGCTGATTTCTAGCAAAATTCAGCCTAAAATATCCTAAATTGTGCTGCCATTCAGTATTTCAAAGGTCCATTCACTTCCTATGTGACTACCAGCAGCTGCTGATGCAGTGAAAAGAAATAGCATGTCCGCTTTAAAGGCTTGCTTTGAATGGTGCAGGCTAGGTTTGACTGGTCTCATCACTCTCGATATTGGCCTCTTGAACAGAGATCCATTTAATCAACAACACAACTAGAATGGATTAGGCACTAAAATGATATTGATAGACAAACTTGGTGTGTTGTTTGCATTGGAGTTGATGGTTGGGATTAATCAGACATCACAATCCTTGCACTTGTTTGCAGTTACTATCAAATTTAGCACTCTCCATGTCAATGAATGATTTGATCTTTGTCATATCACGACAGATTTGTTGATCATCCTCACTAAACATCAAGACACTCATATTTTTCAACAGGAAATCAAGCTTCTTAGCAAATAACTGCCTTGATCAACTTTACACCTGTCAGATACACAGACTATTGTTGAAATTTAGGAATATTCTGATTCTTATTGTATAATACCCAATTAGCATAAATATAAACACATTTTAAATATACATATAATCTTTCCCTTTTTGTTTGGGAAGTCCTCTAAAAATATCATGAATTAATTAGCTTGTAGCACACCATCCAACTCAAGAGCTTTGGAAAGATAAAACCAGTAAAATACTCCAGTGTTAATGTTACATTAGCATATAGATGGAAATTTGCTTAGGACCGTAAAAAAAGGACAGCAAATGTCTTTTGCTCTAATTATAAAACCAAATGGACTTTCTTATAAACAGAATGTTTCAACTTTCAAGGAGAATATTCCAAGTTATATTACTATTTTCTCAATTAACTACGCCTTGATTTCCTTTATAGTATTTTCACCTTACCGTGATCGTTTTGGTGTCAGGTTATCATATTCCACTTGATGTTTTAGTGGAATAAGTGGTCGGATAGCATCGAGCATTGGTAGACGACTTGGCTCATTTATCACCAGTTTCAGGTCTCCAACCAGAATAGGGAGATCCATGGACCTGAGGGACAAAGAAACAAAGTTGGCCAGAAATAAAACAATACCTTTCCTTTTTTTTGCCACTTTGTGTCATCATAACTCCACGTTTGGCTCCGTTGATTCATCTGTGGATTTTTCTGTCTGTTTCAACATTGCCACTGATATTGCCATTTGATTCAACAATAATTATTTCACTCATTCACGTAAGAGAAACTTGTCTGACTCATTCTTCCCCATCCCAGACTTCCATCTCAATAGTTTTTGCAAAATGGCATATTCCGTGTGTGTGTGTATGTATGTGTGTGTGTATGTATGTGTGTGTGTATGT